AGGGTTAGAACGAATAATTCATTGCCGCCTCAATCATTCCTTCTTAAAGCATTCTGTGATATCCAATTGCCAGTATGGGTTTACTAAAAATAGATCAACGGAACATGCCTTGCTTGCCCAAAAAGAATTTATTTTGAACAACTTTGAATCACAACGGCTTACTCTTAGTATTTTTATTGAGTTTAGTAAAGCATTCGATACTCTAAATCATAAAATACTTTTCTCTAAGCTCGAGCATTAAGGCATACGAGGACATGCCCTCAACCTTATAAAATCATATTTAAGCTCGCGATTACAATATGTTGTCATAAATCACTCTCGCTCCGATTCCCTTCAAATTTTTAATGGTGTCCCTCAGGTTAGCATCCTTGGAAAACTCTTGTTTAATATATATATGAATGACATTTCCAATATTAGTGCTCTTGCAAAATACGTTATTTACGCTGACGATACGAGCCTTTTCTTTTCGTCCTCCGACGTTGAACAACTAACTGACACTGCTAACCGAGTATTGACCTTGTTAGCACGGTGGTCATTAGTCAACTCATTTAAAATTAACAAGGAGAAAACTAAAGCCGTAATATTTTGTCCTAAAGGAAAATTTGTAATGCACCCACCGCCTTTAGTTTTGAGTGACACCGTCATCGACTACGTAGAAACGTTTAGATCTCTCGGTGTAAGTTTTACTGCAACGATGACATGGGACGCCCACATACACGAGGTTTGTCTTGCCCTTTCTAATGTTGTTGGAATTACCTCACGTAATAAGCATGTTCTACCTGAAAAAAGCTAAACTTACTTTGTATTACGCTTTCTTTTATTCGTATTTAAGCTATTGTTTCCTTGTCTGAGGTAATACCACAACATCCAATATTCAGTAGCTTCTGATCTTGCAAAAGAAAATGTTGCGTGCTATTACAAAAGCTCCATATAATTCCCCAACCGGGCAGGCTTACTTGCAGTTTAAAATTGTGCCTGTATATCATTTATTTGAATATAGATTCGCGTGTTTTTACAAAAATATATTAGCAAAAAATGATAATGTTCTATCACGTATTGTTTCTACTGTGCCCCACAATACGCCTTATGCAACCAGGGGAAAAGACACCTTTGTTTTACCTAGATGTAAAACGAACTACGGCTTTGCAATGTTGCGATATATCTTGCCTAAGTTTTTGAATACTCATCTATGTGATCACTTGAAGGATATGTCTTCTTCTGTCCTTAGGAAGGCTTTTCTATAATTTGTCTGTACTTCTCATTTTGCCTGTACTGTTCATTTTGTATATATATTATTTTTTACCGCGTTTACACTGATGACTTGGAAGGGTGGCGAGGCCCGTCAAGCAGTGGACGACACTGCTTTTTTCTTGCCACCCTCAGTTTGCATTTCAAGCTGAAATAAACGCTGATTGATTGATTGATTGAATGTACATACATTTTTAGAGGCGGTCCTAGTCTGACCCAAGCATACTCGCACAGACCGCCACTGATTCAGAAGCTTCTTTGACGTAGTGAAATTGCGACGCTGAAAGGGGACTTTATCTTTCCGTCTTCCCCTTCGCAAAGCTTGATAACATTATTGTGGGATCAAAACCAACCGTCTGACGACAGTCGAGCGCGGCTCATCAATTGAACACGATAGTTGCGTGAGCACTCTACTTCGACTCGAAATAATTATTGCCTCGAGGACAATCGGGTTTTGGCTCGTGTCCAACCACTGCTGTGATGAGAATATCAAACTCCAGCAATGCAGGGAGCTCAGCACGCATTTTTAAGTTTGCCAACACCTGCGCGTGTGTATAAAATTAAATAAGGTTGGAGGCATAGGATATGCACGAGGCCACACGGCCATTTGGGCTCTGAAATGAAGGGGATGAATGATGCTCTAATTTCTCGAATGTTCTCGGAGAATTCTATTGTCAGAAAGAAAAACTCAGGCATGTTTAGTCAGTTATAAACTTTAGCGAGTGATTTTAATTAATATTGAAGCTGAAGCTGCCATACTGAAAGACATGAGATTGCGCCTAGCGCCGCAAAAATCCCGTCTCGTGTGGCGATTTCCTGTGAAGAAAAGTGCGGATATACTAGCTGCTATAAAACAAAATGATATGATGGATACCTTTTAATTGCATCGCTTCAACGTGACTCTAGCTCATACGCGAGGTCATCATAAAACTAGATACATATTGCGCAGCTGCAGCCGGCACACCTCCCACCGTTGTTCCCCCTCAAGATTTGCGGGTTGAGCCAAGACTTCTACACCGCCAGTGGGCTGGTTTCTCGTACACAGCTAAGCGACTTCACATGATTCGTCACGTAGCGAGTCCTAGCTGTCTTTCTTGTGGTGATTGCGGATACTCAACTCGAACACTTCTGTTTTTTTCCACACAACAAGAATCTGGAAGTGCCTTACCAGTTCTAAGAGCTCATCAGAGTGCAACATTCAAAAGTTCGGGAACCGTTATCTACAGAACCAGTCAAGGGAGGAGGGGAAAACGTTTTAGCGGACTTTTGCGCTTTCTACGGGGCAGAGGGCTCACAGACCGACTCAGATCCGAGATGCCGAATCGCACCAGTAGCCGTGGACTGTGTAGCCTACATGACTATTCCATGAAAATTGGTCATAAGATTCGTGAATCCTTCCACAGAATCAAAAGCAAACAATATTCTTCTTTAAGAGAACAGCTCTTATGGGCGCCCATTTCCGGATGTAGCGGCGTCGCCGGCGCCGTCGGCGTAACCGCCCAGCTAAATTTAGCGGAAAATTTAACTAGTGCTGAGGTCATGTGAAGTCAATCTTTCCGCTTAATCTAGCGGGGAAGCAAAATTGTTTCATGGTGACGTGACGCAAAGAGATGTGACGTCATTTTCCCCTCTAAATATAGAGGGAAAATTGAGTTTGTGTTGAAGTCACGTGGCATAAATTTTCCAGCTAAATTTAGCGGGGAAACTGGGAGGAGGGTATGAAGAAGGAGGAGGTAAGGGTATAGAGGAGGAGGTCGGGAGGAGGAGAGTGTACGGAGGCGGAGGGGGATACCCTCTCCTCCTCCTCCTCAAGAGCTACGCTTTAATTTCGCACTGCAAAGATTTGTAAACGTCATTTACTTTTTTTAACATTTTTTTTTCTTTTTTCCACCTTCTTTTTTTAAAAGCAAGGTAGCGACTCGATTCACCAATGAAGACCCTCATATCACCTGGCTTCTCCCTTTCCAATCACCCTTAATTAAACAAACGGGGAAGTACGAGTATAAAGCGCTGTAAAACGAGTCGGATAAATGAGCACCTGCAGAAAGAAAGTTCAAACTTTCAATAAGTGTGCATTAAACGGGTAAAATTCAGCGTATAAAAGTTCAGGGCACAGCTCTCATCTCGTAAAGCAGAGAAACAAACTTGCCCAAGCCAACGTTGAGCTCGTTCGCAGACGACCGAGTTAGCGACGCTACTTACTTGCGACGACACCTCGCGATAGGCTTAGCGAGCAGACAGCAGAGTGCGTCGTCTGCTCACTGGGCCTATTGGGAGATCGTTTGACAAGTTGTAGTAGATCGTTCTTTCTCCTCCGCTATATTATCCGTAAAAAAAAAAAAAAAAAAAAAAACGCCACAGCTGCGAATGCGCGCAGCCAGCCTTGTCTGCATAGTTCAAGGTTTTGTGGTGGATTACAGAGTGCTGTGCGGGTGTTTAGCGGGCTGCGGAAACGGTCTGCTAAAGCTCCCTATTAACGTCGCTGACTCGGTCCTCTCCAAACGCGACCAACGTTGACGTTGTTAAGATTGTTGCTATAATTTTTTACAGGAACAGAACTACGCCTTGTAATTTTACACCGTAAAGCTGACGTGCTCAGTGCCCTTTCGGCGAAAGTTCGTGCTTTATATATGAAGGCGCTGATTTTTTTTATTTTTTTTTTTAGTTTTGCAGCGGAAAGTTCGCTTGTGCAACACCACCTAGGTAAGCAGAAGGCCTCCTTACGGTTATCACAGTCACATCGATTGAGGCCCGAGATGGGGCACGCGTGCTGCGTTAGTGTTTGGCCGGGGCTCGTGTTGAATCAACGCGTCGAAGGTTGGAATCGGGCCTAATAGCCGAGTTAACGTCATCCAACTGTGATAACGTTTCATAAATGAAGAGTAGGCGATGCGGAGGCTTTGATTATTCCAGGTGGTGTTGGCTTGTGCCACTTCATACATAAAGGCCAATGGGGAGCATTGCCTCCCGGCAGTCTCGCCCGCCCCTTCGCCTGAAATATTGCAATTTTCTTCAACTCACCTGTTAGTTGCTTTATGATTGTCGCAAATGACGTGACCTAAACGCACCCGTGATTCCATTAGATGCTCAAATTAGTGAGTCGTAGCCTCCTTTAGCATCCATAAACAAGCATTACTGAACCACCGATTAGTTTTGCTTGAAAAGCAACCAGAGGCTGAGGTGAACACGAAATTCTCAATCAGTAAAGGCTTGAAATTATGAAGCTGGAAAAAATCGCAAATTACACAGGGCGGCGTTCGCCCAGCATGAGACATCATAACAATGTCTGTTGAAGTTGCGCGCAGTGTGAAAATTGGTAAGATACTCACACAACGGACGATTTGAGGACGATTCTTCCCGAGGATTTTCGAGGAACAAGATGCCGTCGATGAAGATTTGTTGTGTTTTTTACACAGATTCGCTTCGTGGAATTAATATTTTAACGTAACACTAAATCGCAAAAAAAAAAAACTTTATTAGGTTGCAAGGAATGATTATCAGTGCAAGGAACGATCGCTGGCTGGTGTAATTCTTCCCCTTTTACATTTACGATTTAAGTGATTTCAAAATCACTTGAATCACTTAAAATTTAAATATGATTTAAAAAGAAAGATAAATAAGAAAAATAATCTCTACCACAGATTCGTGCACACTAAAGATGTTAACATCTTGGTTGCATTTAAAGGGAAGCTGAAACACTTCTTTAAAAAAAAGAGATAGAGGTTGATATTAGCGTAGTTTTATCCCCCGATTCCGAATATCACAACGATTTGGCTCAAAAGTGTCCCTAAACGTAATAAAAACCGAAAAAACAAGCGCGAATTGCCCCCGCGCCTTGTAATTGGCGGAATCGGTCGTGACGTCACACTAGGAGCTCTCCGCGTGCTCTCCGCAGTCATCTCGTATCGCTGGGCGGCTGGGCGCACGCGAACTCGGCTCAAATGTCTGGTTCAGGCCTTCCTGTCTGCCAGAATGACAAGTTCCGAGGATCAGTAGACACGAAGGACTCCTTTTGTAGCCCCATACGCGTTCGAGCCCTTTACTAAGCAGGAGTCCGAGGGAGCAGCAAGAGGATCCCAGTCCCTGGCAAACGGCGTTGCGTCCTCCGCCCGCGTCGGCAACACGGACTGGTACGTACCCCCGTGTTTTTATGTTGCGTTAGAACTCGCGAGAGCGAGACTTGAGAATGCGAGGCTCCGATGAATGAAATGGCAGCAGTCGCGATTTCATTCAGCGAAACGGGCACTCGCGCGGCGGCACTACGTGCGCCGCTTTTTGCTCGCCGGTGTTGGGCGAGCCTGAATGTCTGACAATATTATGCTCTTTGTACTTGGGAGAAATATTTGCCATATAACCGCCGCATACATTCACACTTACGGGTCGCGAAAAATTTATCAGAGGAATAAATCCGCGCACGATTCGCGGCCTATTTATTCGTGTGACCCTTTCACCTAGTCTGAGCTCCGACGCTGCTTCGTGCAAGCCGCCGTTCTTCAACGACTGTACAGGGTGGCTATGTTGGGCTTTCCCTTGGTTGACTCGAGCCGCCGGGGATAATGGCTGTAGTCAATCAGCAGCGCCGGCTTCACTCACGTCACACCGCTAGCTTTGGACATCAAGGTAAAAGAAAGCCCCACATAGCCACCCTGCTTCACGCGTGTCGATTTGTTATATATCTAATATTCGCCACATGCGGGTGCCAGTTTAATGCTCAGTATAACAGATTTGATTCTTTAAAAAACTGTTCTTGAAGGCATAAACAAATAATTCCAGCACTTATTTTATCTGAATGTCCCAACATTTGATGGGGAAAAGTGTGTGCAGAAAAAAAAATGCCCTCAGCAGTTCACAAAACGAATGTTGCACACCTTTCTTTATTGAACAGGTGTTCTTGTGGAGAACGCATAAGCATAGATACCGATGAAGAATGTATGTGCCAGCCGGAGGTAGCACAAATCACGAACAAACAAAAGCAAAAACGATACATGAAGAAACCAAAATTTAGGCATGCATGCCTAAACAAGGCACTCCTGGAGATTGCTCTAGCTAGCAGAAAGCATGACGGATTCAGACCCTGGTATCCAAAAGACAGGTAAGCAATCAGACCAATGTGCAGAGCAGACACACTTCTTATGACAGGCAGGCTTCTATCGCAATACTGTATTTTTACAAATTGCCAACTTCGGCGTTGAAAGTGTGTTCCTCAATATGATGCGTCTGATCACAATGCGAAAAAGCATGTTTTATAATAAACAGTGTACAACAATGAAATTTACTCAATCTACCATTTGTGCATCCTTTCAGGTAGACGAGATATACTGCATACCGGCAGTTTGTGCTGCTGACGTGGAACCGTCTCAAGAAGGGAATTAGAATTCTGCCGAGCTGCGGTGTTTACAGGATTCGCACCAAGTTCCCGTCCGAGGATGGAGCCCATGTTGGATTTTGGCATATGTACTAAGAGAATCAAGGCATGCACACATGTTCATAATTCACTTTGGTGTTTAGATAAAAAAAAAGGCTTTTGGTTACCAAAAATTCCACATGTGCACAGTCAGTGCGAGGAGGCGAGGACGCATGCTCTGAATGAGGCATACTGGTATGCCGTAATGAATCTACACAAGCTCACAGTGGAAGGGTTTGCAGCATTTTGTGCACAGATGGCAAAATGCTAGTGCCCAGATAGAAAGTCTCTACCCCGGTTTATTTGCTGAGAAGGAAGCATGGCATAAGCAGCAACGGCGGTGTGACCTTCGGGGGCAGGGGGTAACATGGGGAGTGCCCCAGGGATTGACGTGCCTTGTTACGGAGAGCAAAGGGTCACCCCGACGTTTCCTTTCCCGTTTCTGGCCTAGCACAGGGAACACTACGACGACTCTGGTCTGGCACCTCTGTCGCGTCGGAGTAGAGGACGGGTGCAAATTTTTGGGGGCTTTGGGTATGCAGTCCGTTGAAGTGGTAATTGAAGGTCTTTTCTGCAAGTGGTCCAGTCCCGGTCACAATTGAACTGATTGGTTGTGTGGTCTGTGAGCGAGGGAAAAGGTTGGATTTCGAAGAAGGGAACGGGGGAGATCTCAGGAGACTTGAGCCAAGGAAGGATGGTCTCACAAGTAGAGAGTTGTAACTTGGACGGGTGTAAAAAAAATGTGCATAGCCCAAGACAAGCAGCAAGTCGACCGGTCACTCAGCGACGTTCGTGCCACCACGCTCCAGGTCATCGGAGCAGAACCTGCCTCCCACACCACCGGGAGGAGCAACAACCTTACTCCAAGGAAGGTGCTAAGCAGCTCAACTGCAAAAGGGGCCTGCAATGGGAATACAGAAATTAGGATGGATAACTCAACCAAAATTTGCTAATTGTAGAACCTCGCCACAAATCATACGGGCCTTATTTGTTGAACCTTGTCTTGTGCCTTTGGATCAGTTCTGCCTTGGAAACTTTCTTTGCAGAGCTGCAGAGCGGCGGCGGAACCACGGAGGGTGTGATGAGACTGACGCCACGAGTCTTCCTCTGGGCCCCTTCTCGCAGCACGTCCAGAAGCCTCTTCACGTAGTCTGACAAAATGGAAAAAAAAAAAAAAAAACACATTGGGTTTTGAAAATTTGCGTGTTTTTGTTCCCTTGAAAAGTGTCAAATTGTCGCAATGAATGTTCTCATATGAACCGTCGTCACACGAGCATTGATGACCATGACAAATTTTGATGTATGGCCAGACTATTCTGTACAAGTACCGTATTTACTCAAGTAATAGCCGCACTGTTTATGAAGAAAACCTGAGGCTTCGCTTTTCCACGGAGCACGCGAATCGCCAGTCACAGCAATCGACAGCACGATTCCAGCGGTTTACCAGGATAGAGATAACATCTTCGCGCAAAGATACAATCTGTGTGGAGAATCATGTCCTCGAACTAGTTATTCGCTATGTAATTTATGCGCAACGCAATGATTGGGTGTATAAGTGTTTTGTGGGAAAGCAGACAGAAGGGCCTTGTTCATAAATAGTGTGGCTATTACTCGAGTAAATACGGTGGTCACTTTCATTTTCCACTTCTAACATGCAAATTTGAAGGATGCAGGTAAGCTAAATAAACAAGAATGATATTCAATGCACACCATGAGTTGGCTCCTTCCTTTCTTGCACTGCCACTCCTTCTCCTCCATTGGCCTTCGGGTACTTGACCCTGAAACGCTCCTCGCCCTCCTCCGTGAATGCATAAGGCCTGTTGCCGTTCTCGTTGTAATGGAGAATCGCAAGCTTGGTTCTGGAATTGCGAAACGATTTTCACACAATTAGTATGAAAGTGCTCTTGCATTAGCACCCTGCTTGTTGCCAAATGAGTAGGATGCAGATGAGATCTGTAAAAACATTTTGCAGATAGCTGCAGGTTCCCTGTGCTGAGTATGCTTCCATGCAACCGAGATTGTGCTGATTTTAGCCACATAAAAAAAACAAGGTATAACTTTTATTGAATATTTGCATTTCTTCCAATTGCCTTATGTAAGAATTAAACAACTATTAGCAGCTATTAACATACCAAAAAAAGATTTCGTGCATTGCTAGTTACCTCGCTTTCATCCCCTTGTACGAGTAGTGACAGGACTTCGGACAGAAGTGGATGATCAGGCTGTGAAACGCCTCCACAGTGTAGGTCTGGAAGCGTGTTGAGAGCTTTGGAAGGTCAGCAAGCAGGCACTTCTTCGTCACAATGTTTTCCAGTTTTTCGAAAGCTGCCGAGTCTAAGGGAGAATGCCACAGTCGGGGAAAATGCATGTAGCTTGTATGATATGCTAAATGAGTCGTAAAGATAAACAAATGTCAAAGCTCCATACATACCATCAGAGAGCCAATCCCTGGGCTCAAGCTCGCCGTGGGCACATGAGGCAAACCGGGGATCACGGTGAGAGTGAACGTCTCGCACATGGTTCAGCACGGAGAGCCACTTGGGAACAATCAGATCCGAACTCCCTTCGCTGGAAGCTGCCACCCAGTAAAGGTGGTTTTGTATTGGCCTGCTCCAGAGCGCAAGCTCAGCACAGATGGGGATCTTAACGGCCGCATGCAGCTGCTTCTTGATACCTGGAGAGAATGAATAAAATAAAAAAAAGAAAGGCAATAAGGAGTCTGTGTCCTAGAAGCTTCTTATTAAACGGATGATGGGGCACTTCTGCATTTGAGTAAAAACACTTGAATTGCGTTCATTTGGCCTTTAGAATAATAGATATCACAATTATGTTTCAATATGACGTGCCACAGAGCCATAAGAGCAATTTCCAAATAGAACTGAAGCACCGCCTCCTTAGCCTTGGGCAGCCAAAAGATCCGTCAATGACGTCACGTACAGCGACTGTCTTTCACGTTTTCTCGCGTTTAACAATACTCGCGCAGTAAATGGTTTGGGTGTTCAGGTTCACGGCGTAAAAATACACTAGGATTCAGTTCTCACTCATTTTTTTCAAAAACCTCCGTAGCTTCCCTTTAAGTTGGATGAAACAAGAAAACTGTTTTCTCTTCTGGCAGACATCAAATTGCTCTGCAATTTAACCAGACTTCCAGAGGGGCAGTGGACCACATGACATAACCACTAAGTGCTGCATGAACATCAACTCCAATCCTAAAAATAGAATTACAATAAACTTTGCATTTTGATGTTTGCCCCAGAGAATTTTATGTATGCTCTTATATCTTGTTCATGCCAACTCAGCCCCACTGGCCACATGTAGTCCCCGATAGGTTTCTACAGCTTTTTACTTCTTCCATGCTTAGGTTGGATTTAGTTTGAAATTACCTCAATTAGAATGCACACTGCAATAATTTTAATCAAACTTTCTGATGTGTCCTTAGCTCCTACATTCTTACATGAGGAGGATATCCTAGGGTGGTAAGACAAAATGTTAGCAGAGAAAAACAGTACCTTTTGCAACATGCCAGACGTCAAACTCGTGGCGGACATTCGGCTTTTCCTTCTTCATGAAAGCTTTGCCCTGAACGTGACGGTCCGTGACTAAAAGATCAACAACCAGGCCCTGGGATTCCAGAAAGCTGAAGCTCCTCTTTAGGCCTGCCAGCTCCATACGACCGCTCCCACCAACTTCATTAGACTGCACATTAAAAGCACCACAAAAAAAGAAAAAAAAAATGTCACATGCAACATGGATCATGGTTCAGAAGTGTTAGAACCTCGGATGCTTTTTGCACATATTTGTTAATTACGCTTTCTGATGAAGACATTCAGAAGGAGAACTAAAATTATGACTCGTCTTTTCATTTTATTTTAGCGTAAAAAAGCATGTAGCTGTGGCATAGTTGCATAACTGCAATAATAAAAAGCAATGCTGCAGCCAGGTGTCTATATTTGTCAATGTTTGTCGGCGTTTGTGGAAGTGGTGGCCGTCACAGTGGGACAGGATCAGCGACACGGAACTTTGTGATGTCGCCGAGTTAAAATCGGTGTTTGTTGCTTTAGTGGGACAACGTTATTACAAGATTTTGCTTGCTTTGGCTGCCAACATGCATAGCAACCTACACTAAAAACGCCTGGCTCATTAGACTTGACGAGACAAACCCTCTGAACAATACGTTCCTTTTGTATTGTCATTTCAAATACAAATAACCAAATGAGGTAAAATTTTCTTATTATTGCAATGAATGTTGAAAGGTGTAGAGAATGTGACATTCATACCTGCACAAGCTCGAAGTGAACAATCTTGTTTGTGTCCAGGTCGAGCACAGAGTAAGTGCCATATTTGGCACTAAATCCTGGCGAGTCTGCCCGACCATCTCCGGCCAGCTTTAGGGGACGGTTCTTTGCCTGGTCCAACAGTGCTGCTTGTTCTTGGCTCCAGACCTGCAAAATAAATAGCATAGTTTATGTGTGTTTTTCAGCATTTGTTGAATTTAAAACTTGAAACTCAGCAGTAACTGGGGTGTTAGTGTTTTTTGCTAACAACATTACAGAGCAGAATTATGTCAATTCTCACTGTGTCAATAGCTGGCTGGAGGTGATCTCGCTGCAAGTTGAAGAATGTCTTCTCGCAGACCACTTGCACGCCAATACTTGACAGTGTTCTGAGAGAGGCTGTGGGGTTACATCCTGCAAACAGGATCCCTGCACACAGCAGCAAGTTGAGGAGAGGCTGCTGGTTGACCACATCCTGGTTGACCCAGTAGCTGTGGTGGTCGGCCGGGCACTTGGAAATGACTTCAACCACAGTTCCCTCACACTCGATGGAGACTTGACAGCTGGCATAGCACTTCGGGCACACCTTGAACAGCTGCCGAAATTGAACCTCTGCTACCAAGAACACCCGATTGTTATCGGGAGCAGTGTGTGGCTCTGCAAAGCTGCATCAAGAAGGAATGAAAGCATATGAACCAAGGGACCCCAAACTCATCTTAGGAAGTGGGCCCAAACAGAAAGTTAAGTCCTTCAAGGAAAAATGTGTTTAAAGTAGCAAGGGGGAAGTCTTAATTTGGGTTACCACTATATGGTTTCCATTTGTGTTCACTATGCATACCTTTCTCCATACTCCTCTGAGGGGATGTAGTCCTTGTCATCCTTCACTCCAGGATCTTCCCTGTCTGGTTCGCCCAACTCGTCACAGCTCTCCCCTGGATCAGCTTCTTTCGGTTTCCATTGGCTTGTCTGGCAAGCTGCATTGGTGCGTGGGAAGAATGTCTGCACCCCTGGAAAGTAAACAAGTAGAACATGTAGATTATGTACAAAAGATGTAGTTAAAAAATCCGGTGCATGGGAAGAATGTCTGCACCCCTGGAAAGTAAACAAGTAGAACATATAGATTATGCACAAAAGATGTAGTTAAAAAATCTAAGTTCTTACAAATGAAGAAATGCATCTACTCTGGCTGATTAACTTTTGGTTTAAGATATGTCATGAACTGAAACCGTTATCTCATGCCACCCAAAAATCCAGCTTTCTGCAGAGAATAAATGTACAGTATAATTTATGCCGCGGCAGAACTTGCAAATATTGTGTTTTTTTATGGTTAAATTAATACTCAACGATACCACATTGTTCCGCTTGACGTGACAGCTTTTAGGAGTCTTCTGATGTATGGTCAGGCATAGTCGTTCGCTTCTGGAAGCACACAATCACTTCCCCTCTTACAATTTTGGCTTCAGAACACAAAGAAAGCAGAAAGAACACATGACAAAGCTGGTATGTACCCTGTTTTGTTACCGTTCTGCCGCCTTTGCGTTCTGCAATCGCCAAAATGTCAAACAAAATTAACCGCATCTTCTATTCGTGGGTAAACCTTCTGGCACGACGAATCAGATTACTATAACAACAAATTGAGAAGATAGTTGGAGCACTGAATATTTACAGAATGGTCTATACACATAATCTGTACATATTTTGCTGAAATGCACGTTCACTGCATCACTCTCATACCAATGGATCGTGCAGGAGCCCTTGCTTGAGTGTGTGCAGACTTTGTCCCTGGCCTCACCAACACCTGCACACTTTTATCCCGCTTAGAGGGCTTCGAGGTGTCGCTGTTCACACAGGGAACACTGAAGTCCAGGGGAGCACTCGCATCTGGACAATCGCCCTCCGCTGCCCCCACAGGCACTGGCTCGGTGCAGATTATGGCCTCAGTCAACGGCTCTGCCGGTATTTGTAGAGCAACAGAGCAGCTTGTGGAGGGTCCAGCCGGTGACGAGAGAAGCTCTGAAACAATCTGAAAAACAAATGTGAATCTGATCAGGGGCAGTTTGGCAACATATATGTCGAAGTACAGAGAGTCTGAGACTGGGAATAACTCAACATGAAAGCAAGGTAAAATAATTAGAGACCTCAAACAATATGTTTCATTTAAATTTTTTCTATCTGATCAATAATAATACTTTGCCACAAAAAGTTACTCTAAGACAACCGACGAACCCGCTGCCCTCAACATACCGAAAATCAAGGTATGCAGATGCTCTAAAGCTTATAATTGAAGAGAAGATTGGACAGACAATTGCCTCAGAAATCTAGCAAAGGTTTGCTGCATTGTTTGTGGTGTAGTTTTTACTCGCTTCAGCATTTCTCGTTCACAGCATTGAACAAATGTCGTGCGAATTGCTGTTTTAGAACTCTCATCTCTCTATCTGTTATTTCGAGACTGTGTTAAAAGAGCCGATCGACGGCGCGCTTACCGAGCATTCAAGTGCCATCCGACAAAAATATCCGTCTCATACAGTGCACTTCGCGCTCGGGGCGTTTCCCACGCTCAAACTTTACTCTGAAGCCAGTCTGCCGAGACGCGGGCATGACGTCTCAACAGCTGCCGGTGCTGCCGGTGTTTGAATGTGCGCTTGGGACTGTTATGCAACGGCAACGCGAGCGAAGTTGCGAGTCTGGCCAGCGAGCACCGTTCGAGAGCAAGCATAACCCGCAAACATTACGGTTCTAGAAGTCTGATCCAATGCGGCTTACCTCCATCCGCCTTCTCTTCGCAAATGCACCCGGTGTGCGCTGAGGTTGTCTCCTCTTGTGTGAGAAAATGGTTGGCACAGCGTCTTGTTTGAGTCGTGGCTTGTAGTCCATGCCCATATTCTTCATAAGCCATACTTTGTCCTCGTATGCATCGGCCGTAAAATGCGCCGAACAGAGCACGCTCCACTTGCTGGGCTTGAAATTGTCTCTCTGTATGGCGGAGACCCATAACTTCGCAATCCGGGGGTCGGAAGGAAAAGCGTGAACGTGAAACGGGATGTCTCTCCGGGAAGAGTTGAAACAACCTACGGCCGCACACACGGCTGGCATTGCCGCACGCCTGTCACGGCGAAGAGGACGGAAAAACAGCAAAAACTAAAGGCGACGACGTGGAACACCAAATATAATCAAAACAGTCAACAAAGGGCGGAGAAATCTTGCGAAACGACGAGACGCCGAGCACCCTTGCCGAAATCACGCGTAGACGACGCCAAAAGAGAGCGGAGGCATGTACGTATGGATGGACAAATTGATACAACTGCACCCTTAATATCGGGCGGCGACTTGCGCCATCTACCCAAAGCTTTTAATTCAAATTAAGTCATTTCAAATTAAGTCAGGTGCGTGCGCGACATTATTCGTTATCAATGGAGAAGGGCAAGCCGGTGCAGCCGTTGCGGGACGGGAGCTCCTAGTGTGACGTCACTTCCTCCTCTCTCAACAGCATCCCCTCTCGCTCTACGCCGAGAGGGTGGGGCTTCCCCGCTATTTTTAAAGCCCTTTTACGACTCCTCCGCGCATCATATTCAAAAATCGTTTCGATATTCGTGGTCCCGAGAATCATGGGCAAACGATTCAGGTGTTTTTTCTTCAATACAGAACCGCTTCAGTTTCCCTTTAAGAAACTTGGAAATCAATTAACAAAAGCTTTAAGGCAGGCTAAACGCGTGTATTTCAATAATTCATTTAAATGTGACAAAACATCCGAGGTAGTATGGAAAAAAGTAAATGTGTTAATAAAACAAGGGTGGCATGCGGATAAAGTAACGGAAATAAAAATCGAAGGCATCGCTGTAAAAGGGGTTCCTTTGGCCAAAAAGTTTAGTAATCATTTTGCTACATTTTTCCGAAGTGTACACTGTGCGGATGCCGTTGGGTGTGTCCAGAAGGTTTCACATAGTATGTTTCTGTTTTCAACTGACGAAGATGAAATATTTTTTGTTTTCCAAAGCTTAAAAAATAGTAAGAGCTCCGATATATATGATTTTCAAATTTAACCTATCAAGCATGTTTTGCGGTGGATTGTTCCTTGTTTAACACACATTTTTAATCTAGCAATCGAGAACGGAACTTTTCCGCAAAAAAAAGGCGCAAACGTATCTGTGCTATATAAAGCTGGAGATAAAAACAACCTCGAAAATTATAGAGCGATTTTTGTCTTGCCGATATTTTCAAAAGCTCCAGAAAAAATAATGCATCACAGGCCGTATAGTTTCTGTGAAAAGTTTTATATTTTAACGCCCTGTCAATACGGATTTAGGGGGGGTTTCTCTACCGAACTTGCCTTGTTAAAACAAAAGGAACTAATTTTAAACAATATTGAAAAAAGTTATTAACACTCGGAGTATTCATAGATTTATCAAAGGCGTTCGACCGCATCTCAAATGACACGTTACTTCAAAAGCTGCATACCTATGGCATTCGTGGCGTTGCTCTAGATATGATTAGAAGTTATCTTAGTTATCGGTACCAGTGTGTTGATATAAACAAAAAAACAATCGGATCTTAGGAAACACACTGCCAACGTACCGCAAGGGAGCATTTTGGGACTACTTCTTTTTAATCTGTACATAAATGACATCGTAAATATTAATCAAAATGTGAGTCTCATTATTTACGCTGATGGTACCAGTATATTTTTTTCAGGTGATTATATTGATCAGATTGTAAGTGCCGCAAATATGTTTTGGAAAAGTTAAATGCCTGGGCAAATTCAAATTTATTAAAAATAAATGGCAGTAAGACAAAAGCCGTATTATTTAGATCACGAAATACAAACTGTTTCTATACGTCCATTTTTTCTCTTGGAACACACTGTATAGATATAGTTGAAAGCGCAAAAGTTCTCGGAATTATATTTAATCAATACATGTCATGGGACGAAACTGTACAACAGACATGTCAAAAATTATCAAGAGTAGTAGGTATTATGGTACAAATATCGCCACATCATCCCGATTTTGGTTATGTTCCTTATATATAATTACCTCTTTCACTCAAAATATAATTATTGCTTCTTGGTATGGGGGAAATACGACCATTACAAGCATAAACCTGCGACATACCCTATTGAAAAAGGCCAATATGAACTCGGCTTATTGGAAATATCGTATTCCAATGAAGTTGCTGGAAACCAATAAGAACTTATTGTTATCCGATTAGCCCAATACGCACGATGGGAATTCATATCGGAGCACAATATCCCGATATAGTATGCGGTTATTGGTATACAACAGGATATTGGAGCACAATATCCCGATATAACTTGCGGTTATTGGAATAGAATACTACACCGCGCGCATATTGGTAACAGACATGGACATACTGTGCGGCCACACGATATATAAATATCGGTCGTCGATCACGGGCCCAAAGGAGAATACAATATCGCGTGGATAAATCTCAGAACGAATTCCAAGTTACCAACATGAACTACGTCGGCATATACCGCGGACTAAGATGATACGTAACGCAATATTGATCGCCCGTGAGCAACATGTGGATATCGGTACGCCCACATATACGAAATCGCGTGAATGATATCGTGGAACAGTAGGAGTTGCCATACGGCAATACGAGAGAGAACGATATTGGAGGTGGATACACATAGAACACAAACGTTCCGCGTTGCAAACACATTCCCATTGATCGAAAGCGCAAGTGCACGTACGGCACACAGTACACACAGCCTCGAGCGCTTGAAATGCTAGACAACCACCAAACCATTCAGAATAACTAGCTGGGACACCCGCGACCTACCTTTCAATGAGAAAGCCCAATAACGACGTGCTCATTGGAGTGATCGTTTTCAAACAAATGTTTATTGCAGTTTTAATGCAACAAAAGTTAGGTTACCGATGTTGGAACCCAAATCGAACGCGATACGTGACAATGTCAGTTCGCACGATAAAATAATGAGGATTAATGGGCTTGACAGGTCACGTGCTTCTTACCCGCACATTTATCGATATTGACCCACCTTTCTGGGTAATCCTACGTCGTACACAAAATCCACAACCATACACGAGCACATTTCACCCGCCACTCTTCGTCGCCTGTTTCGCAAGATTCACACACTGTAAAAAACGACGGGAAAAATACGTGCATTTGCGCCATCAAACGATACGTTACAGACTCGTTTTATGAGAAAAGTTTTCATCGTGAATCCGCGCGCGCGAAAGCTCGAGCGCTCGAGCTTCGGAGGCCATCGAGCCCATAGAGATCATACATACTAACTCTAGAGGAAAAGGTCCGCCATTTTCCCATACATTCTGGCTGCCGCAAGCGGCGGATCATGCGGGCAGACCCTCGGGGTTTCGTGCAGTTTCGTGAACTTCAACAATCCACGAACTTACCGGTGAAAAGATATTCGCGTTCCTTTCGAAGCTTTCTTTTTGCATAGCGTGCAGATGTACGGCCTCGCGTTAACGCTAAACTAAACCATATACCCGGCTTCGCAGGTGGGGCGCGGCTGGGCGCGGTTGAGGAATACGAAACTGCGCAACCACCAGATTTCCGAGATTTCGACAGAAGGGAAGTTAATGCAGCGTAATGACTTTATTGCTTTTTATAAGCGTTAGAATAGCTCAGAATTTAGTTTACAACTTTAAATTATCACTGTTTATATTGCTGAGAGTTTTCACTCCTCGCGTTTACCATGGCAACGTTGCTTTCTTTCTCTCGTGTTCTGTCGCTCTCTTTTGCGATCGTTCACTCGGGACCCCGGGTGTCGGCGAACGGGATTTGCCACTCCTTCTCACCCACCTTTACCCCCCTGATCGAGCCAGACGAGCGGCTGAGCGAGCCGCCTAGTGGCCGAGCCCGCCGGCCCAGCCAAGCCGAGCCGAGCCGGCGACCGCGACCGCGCCGACCCGGCGAGGCGGCGGCGACGGCGGGACCGACGGATGACAGCTCGTCAAGTTCGTCGCGCACTTTACTTGTGGGCTCCAAGTGAAACCAACGCACTTTCAATCGCTTCGAAAGGTACGTATGGACGACTTTATTACTTGCAGCATTGAGTGCTTTTGTATACACAGATCAAAGTAAACACTGAAGGACAGAAGGGAGACATGATGTTTTGAAATCGCAGCTTATTTGAACGCATGCGTCCCCTGCTAAAAGTGTCTGGCTGTGCTCTGTTGCAGACGTCATTTCGACTGCGTGTACTCTGATGTAATTTCAGTCAGTGTTTACACTCGGCTAGCTATCACTCGGCTTGCTATCTCATGTGCGAAATAGACGTAGAAACCAGCGCCTCGTCTCTTTCGGATATTCAACCTCCAGCCCTCTGGCTCCCAGCGTGCTTACCGGCGCAAACCGTTCGACGTGTTGGATTCGTGGGCTCGTTCGAAGAGGCGTTGTTTAACGCTCACGAGTCGCCGAAGTGTTACCGGAGCTTCTCTTTACGAAAGTCGCGATCGACGCTGGGCTCTGAGCTCGTACTTTTTTCTTCCCTGGTAGACTAAGGGTGCCGACCATTCATCTGTGGTGCCGACTGGCGCCGTACGAAGTTGAGAAAAGCTAGCGAGTCTGTCAGATTTTCGTGACGCCGCCCAACTGCTCTGCTACCGGCTGCGCTCAACGAATGATGGCAATAAAAACGCGTTTTTTTAAATTAATTTTTTTTTGCCATGTTTCATTTTAGTTAACGCAAAGTAAATCGCGGCCGTACGTCGGTTGACTCCCGATTACTGTCTCTACATCGTAGATTGTCTCACCACAATGGTGCCTCTTTGGTGTGATCTTATTCTGATATCGTTACATCTTGCTTTTTCATCTTGGCATACTTCTAGACGACCTTCTACACGTTGCACTCCTTGTCGACATGTCGCTGATGTTAGAGACAAATCTGAAGTCGCTGTTTGCTCACTCCTTGGTGCACATATTTCATGTTCAACATCAGGTATCTGAAGGAGGCGCCATGAAACCCTGGAGTTTGTTTAGAGGTACCTCGACATGCTGTATTCAAGTGTCGTTTTGTGTGTTAGTTTCCTACAAAACCAAATTGTACTTTGTTCGTAATATACCCATAACTGTTCACTACAATTAAAGTTGCTATGAAACATTGGCCACGAGAGGTGACTCGGCCAACGCAGCCTGA